TGTGTCTCTTGGAGTGTTTTTTGAGGTGTATTGAATCTCCTCTAGGTCCTTAGTTAGTAGTTGAGTAAGGTAAGAGATCAAGGGCTACAACCCTTAACCAAGTACCTAAAAGGTGATAATGCATGCCAAAGTTATGGTATGCCTATACCTAGTTGATAATGCATGTCAAAATCATGATACGCCTATACCTAATAAGAGAAGAGGTCGAGGGCTAACTCCACATGTGAGTTGATAATGCATACCAAGGTCATGGTATGTCTATACCTAGTTGTACCACTTCTAACAATGGAATCGGACTTTTCTAGTGTAAGTGATGAAATCCAAGAAATCAAAAGAGGAATTGATATCCCATTTTGTTGTGATCGAGTCGACGCTTCAGGCATAAAAATGATTTGGTTTGTTTGGTAGGGTGGAAATCACTTACACTACTCATGTTATTAGGATATTTCCATAGATAAATGCATAACGACACATTGGTTGATGTGTTTGCATATGATAGGTGTCGAGGTGCATGTTCATATACATTGTTGATGTCTTATGTGACATGATTTGAGTGAGATACATGTTTACTTGGAGTGTTGTAGCTTTCATGTATGGTTGTGGTGTGATGTTATACATTATAGAATTATTTTCTATACTTACATGTTTTAGAACTCTATCTTACTCTTCTGTTTTCTGTGTTATTTGGATTGTGATGATCATACGTTATAAAAAAGCAAATTAGGGTTAGGCTTGAGGAGTTATTGTTGGTAGGTGGTGTGATTTTTTTGTTGGTGACGACGCTACTACATGTAACTTATATAGTTCTGGTCAATCAACACTAACACAGGATTATTTTGGGATTATAATATACATATACATATATCTTGTTTATATTAATATAGGTGTTTTACTCTTATATTCATGTTCTATATATATGTACATGACACATTTTCTCATTTTATATGTATATTATTTTTTATTTTTCTTTTTTTCCCAACTAAAAGCATAAGAAAATAATTTTTTTAGCTTTTTATATTTTTTTCTTACTAAATAATTTTAAAATCATGTCATTTTCTTTTCCATTTTTTTTTCTTTCCTTTCATTTTATTTTCTAAACCAAACATTTTCTCTTTCCTTTTGTTTTATTTTTTCAACCAAATAAAACATTAAATTAATTGGGTCACACTTTTGGTCAAAAGAAGTGGGAGAAAAAGTGAGGTTGCAAAGGATTCTAGTATTAAAAGGAACAAAGATAAGAAAAAAAAGTGAAGTGAAAACTACAAAAAATCTAATTAAAAAGAAATATTTTTTTATAGTGACATTGTAACACTGTACATTTTATTAATTGTTGAAGAATTTATTAAAATGTATGATTGTTAAGTTGATTGTTGTTTTTACATTAAGAAACTCTGAAATTAAGGAATTCTTTATAAATTTTTAGTTGTTTAGAGGATTTTTTTATACAAGGTATAGTTTGGTCTTAGGGAGAGATATATAAGATCTTCCTTAAGACTTGAGTTTCATAAATTTAGATTTAAAAAAAAAATTAAAGAGAAGTTAGAGAAAAAATATCTAGGAAAAAGACCTTTTTTACCTTTTTTTTCTACTAAAAATCATTTCTTACTCTTTCTTATAGTTGATTTGAGATGACCGACTGACAGATTCAATATTTTGAGCAAGAATAGTTCGTTGTTGGTAGTGGTGCAAAGTCCTTGGAATTTTGACTTTCTTCTTCTTTGATTCTCTTGGAGCTAGAAGTAAAGGATATCAGAAATAATTATTTGTTAAATTGATGAATTGAATGTTATTTGAACTACTCAAAACATGGCTGTAATGATAGATTTTCTTATGATGTGAAGTTTTGAGAGTTTTGAATATGTGGGGGGAGGTTTTGAACAAATGATGATCAAATATGTGTTGCATGTTGTTATCCTAAGTTGGTTCAAGTTTTTATGGTGTGTATGATTGATATTTGTCAAAATGTTAGAGATTTTCTAAATTTCAGGTGAATTAAGTGATTTTGTGCTAGCTGATCCAGCCAATATTGAGATGGCCAAATTTTCTAATAATTTGGACTCGGTGGTAGTAGACTCGGATACAGCTCCTGCTGATCAAGGGAATAATTCATCTTTAATCGTTAAAGCTATTTTACCCTCTGAAAATCAAGATGCTCCTGCAGTACATGATGTGCCAACCTCTCATGTGTTAGTCCAATTTCCTAACAATCAGGGAGCTGAAAATTTTGAAGCCTTAGATGATATTGGATCCTGTTTGATTTTGAGAGAGAAGATGAGAATGTGAATATCATTGATTCAGAAATTGATTACCTTTCAAAAGGATTACAGAACAATGTATTTATAAGAGTTAGAGACAAATTAACTCTAACTAACTCAAACTAGAAAAACTAACTAACTTGTAATAACAACTTTCATCCATTTCCCTTAACATCCCCCCTCAAACTCATGGTGTCCAAAGTGGTAACCATGAGTTTGTTTCGAAAATGATGAAAGTGTTGCTTAGCTAGAGGTTTGGTAAGTGTATCTGCAACTTGATATTCTGCAGGAAGATGAATGACTCTTACTTCATTTTGTTTGACTTTATCTCTCACAAAGTGCAGGTCCAGCTCAAAATGTTTCGTTTTGGAATGCAACACAGGATTGGCAGTAATGAGGACTGCACTTAAATTATCACAGTAAATTCAGGGAAGAGACTTTGGAACCCTTAATTCACTTAACAGTGACTGTATCCAGATAATATCTGTTGCTACATCAGCTATGCTACGGTATTCAGCTTCTGTTGTACTTCTAGAGACAGATTTTTGTTTTCTTGATGACCAAGAAATAAGATTGGAGCCTAGATACACACAATAGCCACTGGTTGACTTTCTATCATCTTTATCATTTCCCTAATCTGAGTCACAGAAGCCAGCCAGATTTAGTTGCTTATTCTTTTGAATGAGAAGACCATGATGGATTGGCATAGACAATTCAGAGTAACCAAAGTTTCGAATTTTCAAACCTGCACCATTACCAATTTTGACATTGTCCGAGCCTTGATAGGAGGATTTGGCTAACAGATTTGCTTCATCATTGGTCATATGATGTGAGGCCCCACTATCAGGATACCACAAAGGATCTTGAACAGTTGATGGAATGGCAATGCTTCCTTGGTCAGAATGGACTGATGCATTAGAATGAAACTGAGAGGTATTAGCCTGTGGTGGTTGTTGAAATTCTTGATTAAACCTCTGCCAGCAATCAATAGCTACATGCCCAAATTTTCCGCAAATCTGACACTGTGGTTTAGGATTATTCCAATTATTTTGATTGGATTGAAACCAATTGTTTCTGTCAAATCCTCTTCCGGATGTATTTCTTCCTCTTCTATAGTTATTAAAGCCGCCTCTATTGTTGTTTCTTCCTCCACGACCATAATTAGTGCCACGAGCATATTGTTGTTCTCCTCTTCCTCTTCCAATATGACCCATTTGAGAGTTTACTGTTGCAATATTTGCTTGAATGAAATTTTGTTCTGTCTTTCGGTGTTTGTCAAATCTTTCTTCTTGAGCTAATAACAGTGCCTCAATATCATCTACTGAGTAAGTATCCAAACGAGATGTAATAGATGTAATAAAAGAATCAAATTCTTCCGGAAGCCCATCAAGAATGGGCTCAATATGTTCTTCTTCTGAAATTGGTGAACCAACAGCTGCTAGTGAATCTACAGTCTTTTTAATTGAAAGAAGATATTTTGTTATCGTGCTGTTTTTCTTTGACATTCGTAACTGTAGCGTTAGTTTCTTGATCTTTGCTCGGGTCTGTGATGCAAAATAGGTTTCCAGCCGTTTCCATATTTGATGAGTGCGCACCGGCCCAACCATTTTTGTCAAGATAGGAGTAGTCATTGATGCCAATAGCCATGCCACTACTAGTTGATCTTGTTGGTCATACTGCAAATATTCTTCCCTGATCTTGTTTTCTGCTTCATCTTCTTTGGTCTTGAATTTTTCTGGAACCGAGTTTTCAAGAAGGTATTTCCCAAGGTTGAATCCACGAATTGTAGCATGAACTTGTTGTTCCTAGATGAGAAAGTTTTCATCATCAAGTTTTGTGGATATAGGTGTGTTGAAGGTTTGCAGATTGAATGAGGAAGCCATAGCAGAAGACAATTGTTACCCACTCAAGGCTCTTGATACCATGTTTGATTTTGAGAGAGAAGATGAGAATGTGAATATCATTGATTCAGAAATTGATTACCTTTCAAAAGGATTACAGAACAATGTATTTATAAGAGTTAGAGACAAATTAACTCTAACTAACTCAAACTAGAAAAATTAACTAACTTGTAATAACAACTTTCATCCATTTCCCTTAACAGATCCCTTTATCCAGTCCAGGGAGCAATCGTGTCTTCTCGAAGGATGGAGAATAACAATGAATCATCTTTAGATGGCATGCCACCTCTGGAAGACATATCAAATGATAATAATCCGACCATAATCCGAGCCAGATAAATATATCACTTTTTAATATAATTCTATTATTATGATTTGTTCTCTCAATAAATATAATATTTTTAATCGTTGTGGACAAATAATTTATAAGGAGAAAGTTAGAAGAAAAAAAATTAATACTATATTAAAAATAAAATTATCATTTATTTTTTTAAAATTTAAATATTAAAACTGAATCATTCATTTTAGAACGGAGAGAATATTAGTTATATATAAATAATTGTATACAACTGCCTTCTTTTATTTATGAAAACTTGCCACATAAATTTCACTATATTTATACCAGAAACCATTTATGAGACATAATTAATCAATTGAGTATGCAGTTAAGTACACTAATCTACCGAGTAATTTATTCTAAAAACATATAACAACGTCACCATGTACGACGAATTTAACCAATTAGACGCACACAATTATACGCTTACATAATAATGTCTTCATAAACAAAATGTCAAATATTCCTCCTTTACATTCTATACCGTGAATTTTACTGGCCCAAAAGTCAAACACCTTAATAAAATTCTCCATATCAATTGACAAGCCAGAAGTTTCATAAACATTAAATAAGTCTTATAGAAATATACATATATAAACACTGGAAAATAATCTTATCTTTGCCTAGAAACATGGCAGAGTCACATTGCAAATTAGCTCTTATACCAAGGTGAAACTGAAACACTAGAGATACTCTGCTAAGTGATTTGGTTTGGTTAATATCATTGTCACCCTAGTCATGACTCATGACCTTGGAATTGCACAGAGAGGGAGACCCTTGTCCATGTGAAGGGTAAACATGACCCTATAAGTCACATGTTGTGTTCCATTTGCCAGTTTAAACCTGAAGAAACGAACAAGAGCCATTGCTACTATTTTCATCTGTCTGTAAGCAAAATCCTTCCCTAAGCAGATTCGAGGTCCAGCCTGCAATGAGACATTCATTAATCCAAATATATATATATATAGAGAGAGAGGAGGCAGGGGAGGGAATCAACTCACTTACACTAATTAATATTTTCTTATAAGATACTTTTATCTAAAATTTTGTGGTTGAACTGAAAGTTATAAACAAGATATGTTATAAGCACACATTCTAATTAGTTGAGATTTATTGAAAATTATAAATTTAGTGTGTTTCTAAACCTATTTAATGACTCTTCCTACATTTTGTAGATTTTAATAAATTTTAATCAATAAAAAAATATGTTAAGAAAAGTGTATTAGATAATTTGTTGCTAGTTAGTACTTATAATTGTTCTATTTTGACAAAATTTGTTACAAATAATAAATATAACACATAGTTATATTTTTTTTATCTATGAAAATTAAACACAAGAAGTTTACAAGAAATGTTCAACTAAATGAATTAAACCTCTTTAATATACAACAAAACTGAAGTATAATATTATAACTACTGTTAAAATTATTCAACAATTAGAATTGAAGTTTCATATTGATAATATGTATTTATATTTAATGTAGACTTTATTAATATAAATTCATACATATTATCAAAGTGAAACTTCAATTTTAATAAATAAATAAAAAATACTTAAAGTAGGACTAAGTTTTATCCATTATTTTATGATTATAATTTAACTATTAGAAGGATAAAAAAGAAATAATATAAAATTATTGATGGTAGAAGAGTTAATATGGTATAACTATAAATTGATGCTTGCTTATATAAGGGAGGGAGAAAGCAAGTTAATATAAAGGTACAAACATGGAAAGCTACGAATTTGAATGGTGATTCAGGTTGAAAAATTCCATTGTTGAGCCATCTTTCAGGGCGAAACTCCTCAGCATCTTCACCCCAAATGGAAGACATCCTACCCATACCATAGGCCAAGTAGTACAATCCATCCCCCTTTTTCAGTTTGTAACCATCAGGAAGAATATCAGGTGCCTCTGAGGTCCTCCCATCCTTCAATTTATATCATACCAAAAAGATAAGATAATCATAAATCATAATCCACAAAATAGGTAATTGCAACCTAATACGGCAGGTTTATATTACTCACATAGAGTGAAAGCCTAATAGAGCATTTTGTTTATATTCCAAAAGCCTAAGATATTAGGTGAAGACACAAATGATTTATGACTACAGATGTATGCACACAAGTACACACATAATGGCATAAATATTTCAACAAGTAACCAAACTTGGATGATTGAGTTGTCGCAATCGCTAAATGCTACAGTGAAATCAGGTTAACAACTATCATAGGTATTTAAGTACAATTCGGATAATTATGTAACACATGATAATAGTACATTAAAAAAAACTGTAGAGCAAGGAAGAGATGATTCAATGCGTTTTGAGAAAATCTTTTAGATGGTACCACAGGGACTGCAGGGTAAAGTCTCAAGGTTTCTGTCAATGCTGCATGAAGATAGTGCATTTTATCAAGTGTGTCATCTGTTATTTTTGTCACAAACTCCTCTATGCTTGGTTCACTTTCATGGCTACAAGTGACATCTTTCACTTCTTGAGAAATCTTTTCCTCTATAAGAGGGTTCTTGCTGAGCATGTAGAAGAACCATGAAAGAGTATTTGCACTAGTGTCTTTGCCAGCTATCATAAAGTTCAGAATTATATCCCTCAAATATTGATCAGTCATAGTCTTTTGGTTCTTCCTGCTCTCCATCAAAAACCTTGATAGTATGTCTTGCTTGACATTCTGAAAATCAAAGCAACCATTTGAATGACATTACTCATCCTTAGTTGATAGAAGTTTTGAAGCAGGAGAAAAAATAAATTTGGAACACCTTTGAAATGCTTTTCTAAAAGTTCAAATGCACCGTATCCAAAAATATCATCAAAAGGCTTTTGAAAGATACTGCATTGTTTGAGGAGGAACAAAATTAACTGATCAACTCACAGATTTTTGTTGAACTTCCAATTGTGCTTTTCTGGTCTTAATTACTTCATGGACAAAATCATCTATTATTTTCACGTTTCTCTTAAGGGTAGCTTCACAACCAATGTTAAGAAACCTCTTGAGCCTCCAGAATGGATCAACATAGCGCCAATAAGTCAAAGCATTTGACTCATCAAAGGCCTTCATGAATTCACTTCCCTCTTTGCTTGATCCCTCCAAGCAATTCAATTCCGTTCCAAACCCAACTTTGAATATGGAGTCCAGAGTGCACCTCATTAGCATGTCCTAGAAAAATATCAAACATTATATCTTCATCATGCTTTCTACTAAGTAACATCAAAATTATTTATTTTCTAATTATTTCGAACAATTCTGATCGATACCATGTTAGCATAGTCTAACCAATATATTTCCTAGGTTGACTTTTCTTGATTGATGAAAGCCTTAGCTGTGAAACACTAGCTTAAAACTGATCGCTGATCATGATGCATTCAAACAAAACCATGAACAAAACAAGCTTAGTTAATGAGACTAATTTTATTTTTTTTGTTATGTTACATGTATCTCTCAATCTACTAGGCCAAAGACTAATCCCGCTCATAGTATTTTGACCGTTGTTGGTCTGAAGAATTTTCACATACTACAGAGATCAAGCATAGTATTCCTCACTAAATAGATCATCTCCACAACATGTGAACGCAGGATGCTTAACAAAAGTTAATGAGACTAATTGAAGCTTCCTGAACAATTTTAACTAAAAAATTCATTCCTTCCATGATACACATACTATTTTCTAAAAAAACATAACCACTCACTTGCATATCAAAAGCCCGACCCTGGTGGGAAAATTCTGAGACAACCCTGACCAACTTGGCAGCATTCCTTCTGAAAACAGAACAACTGTAGTCTCTAAGAACTCTTGTGGAGAATTCATAACTTGCAAGCTTCCTTTGTTGCCTCCACTTGTCACCATCAACAACAAAAATCCCCTCGCCAAAAAGATCAGTGATAATATCCTGGTTATACTTGCCTTTGGAGTACTTGTCAAAGTTGGTTTTGAGCACGTGTTCAATATTCCGCGGGTCTATTGTGTACACCTCGCTTTGTTCTGGAGCCAGAAGCCGAAAAGTTGGATGAGTTTTGGCCACTTGAGCATGGTAGTCATGAAGTGTGCTGAAGTAGAATAGCTGGCTAAACACTGTGCCTTTCACTGGAGCATAATCAGGGTCCCCTATTGATTTTCCTAGGACCATGGTCAACGTGATGAAACAAAAGACTAGGAACATACCCAGAAAAGAAAAGGCTATGAAACTCAACAGGGTGTACCAAACATCCATGTTTTTTTTTTTTTTTCTCTTCAGAGGTGGTGAATCTTGTGATCAAAGAAAAGGTAGCGTGTGCAGGTCCAACAGCAAAAGAAAAACGCAGTGAAGGACCTCTTATTAGAGGTCAATGCGGGGTTTCATAGAATGTTCAACTCAGCAGAATGCAGTTTTGGCTCATTTATAACACATTGTTTTGTAAACCCTCTATTTAACTTTTTAAGAAGGCAATGTCATAATAATCGTAGTAAGAACTGTATTATACATTATCCATATAACAACTTATTTTATTTATATCTAGAAACGGCCTTAAAAGGCCAAGCACAAAAGACAACCCTAACAGGGGAAACACACTAGACGCGTCACTAATGGATGGATGGTCAGGAAGGGAGGGTCGATATCATAGCTTCTGCAACCAATGATCATTTTTGCTAACTAAAATTCATTTTCAATAAATATGTTATTCATACACAGGTTCATATAATATAATAATTTATCTAAAACAATAACCATAATTGTTTAGATGACATGTAAGTTGTATGTCCACAACAAAAGATATTTTTCATCAACAAATTACATCTAAATAATAATCACAACTATTCAAATGCCAGTTAAGATGACATGTATGAGGTATATTCATATGTCATCCCATCCATCTACTCACAACTTTAGACATGTTACATAAATCCGAATGAAAAATTCATACATAAAACATGATACCTTGTTTCGCATAAATATGCGTTTTCCAGCAAAGTGAAGGATATATATACATCATACTAAACAGAAAATAAACACCACTGTTTTCTATTTTCATTTTCAAAGAAAACAGGAAATAAAGATGAAAATGTTTACTTATAATTTTTGAAAATATTTTCAAAAGAAGTCCAAATTTAAAAACAAAAATTCATTATTTTCGCACTTAAAAAAATATGGTGACATTTTATAACAATTATTGATTTTTTTTTTACTTTGTGGGAACTCTCTTCTAAACATGCATTACACATAATTTAAGACTTAATTTTTTGTACTCGGAACTTAATTGATCACATCTTATATTTATTTTTGTGTTTAAAGAAGTTTTATTTGGTGCATAAATATATTATTATATAGGCTAAAATAGTATTTTAGTCTCTTATAATAATTGTTTGTTTCAATTCAGTCCCACTTTTATTTTTTGTCTCAATTTGGTCCCTAATAAATTAATTGGTTGCAATGTCGGACTTCCGTCTAAATTATTTAGACGGAGTTAACTATTGGCCATCAATAATTTAAATTATTGCAATGTCGGACTTCCGTCCAAATTATTTAGACGGAGTTAACTATTGGCCACATGGATGCTACGTGGATGCACACGTGGATGCCAAATTTTTTAATGCATCTGGAGCCAGAACGGCCCGTTCTGGTTGCACACTTAGTGCGTTAATTTTGCACCTGAAACGGGTCGTTCCGGATGCAAAATTAACACATCAAGAGTGCAACCAGAACGGCCCGTTCGGAACGGGCCGTTCAGAACGGGCCGTTCTGGTTCAGAATAGGTCGTTCTGGTTCCAAAATGTCCAACACAAACTCGATGATTATAGTTGGTGACGGATCCAGAAATTTTAGATCGTGGGAGCAATACTTATTTATATATTTGTAATATTAAAAATTTTACATATAATTTTTAAAAGTATAAATATATATTATAGTTATTTTTTACAAGTTTTTATATCTATAATTATGATTAAGGATGAAAATAAACTAGGTCAGATTATGTTATATTATAATTTAACAGAATTAAACCTAATTTTTATTAAAAGTACATGTTATTAATATGATATATTTATCTGTCATAGACATTTTTTAAAATATTTGGTTAGAACTACAATCTTAAAAACCTACTTAATAATAATTTAACACTAATAAAAACATAAAAATAAATATGTTAAATCTTATAAAAAT